TTTCTCTCATTGGTCTAGATGAGATGCTTTTGATGTCTTCTTCAGGAAGGGCTTATAACAACAAATTCAAAATCAAATGTCAACATATAATAACTATTTTATACTATTCTTATTTACTATAAGGCAACTATGTAGTTTTTGTTAAACAAAATGTTTGATTGTTAGAAATATCTTTGTTAAAAGGTTTTGTTGCCTTCTCAGCGTTGTTCTGATCGACTCAAAGTCACAAATTGCAGAAGGAAAGCAGAAACATTACGGATGGTGTTAAGAGTGTCTGATCATTAACGAGATAATGCCAAGAGACTCATCTCTTCCTGTCTAATGACTCAGTGGCAGTTGTTTCAAGGGATCAGGCTTCTCATCCAAATGCTTAGGCTCCTCTCAACAAATTCTTTTGTTTTTACAAAAATCAAAGTATGTGCTGATAAGAAAGCTCTGGTCATCTAGGAATAGTCCATCTACACTGATATATATTTCTAAAACAGACACCATGTTTCAATGACATTTGTTGAAGTATGAACTAACCAGATTAGGAAAATTTCCAGGTTATTCTAATGAGAAAGTAACAGTTACAGTTAAAGTCAATGTAAAATATAAAGCCATTACGATATGAGAAGATTTTAAACATCTACATTTTACTGACACATTTTTTCTTTGCCCTTTGCTCCTCCACCAACCACCATTGATGCAAAGACATAAAATGGGATGAATATTTCAGTGTCATTTCTGATTTCAAATAGATAGACGTTTCAAAAGGTGATTCTCTCCTGAGGAAATGCTGCACCTTCAGAGTTGAAATATCATTTGAGAAGCAAGACAGTAAAAGTCAGTCATCTTGGAATGGAAATTTTCTTGTGGTGGCTTTCCTTTTCACTTTAGCGTTTATGGGAAAGAGACTCCTCCTCAAGTAGAGTTTTCAATGATGTTTTTTTGGAGGATATGGCAACAGAGAGCATATTTATAAGCGCAGGAGTGACAGCTACTTAAAGTATATTAATCAAGTGCCATGTTCAGGTAGGTAACCAGTAATCAGACCTTGTGGTTGTTGCATGGCAGATAGAAGAACAAAGACTTGTGCCTCTTCCTTAAGTCATCAACTGCTCCTACGACTTCAGGTGTGGTCACTTCTGTCAGAGTGCCGTAGCTTTGGCAGGGACACCAGAACTAAATAGAAATATTTATAGCAATCATAAACGTTTCATATTAATGAGGCCTCTGGCAAATTGAAAACCACATTTCTTGCAAATCCCCGTGTAAGTTGGAGGATGTATTGTCTGCTCCCCCATTCTGCATCATTGCTACCATATGTTGATTTTTCTTCGCATAAATCAGCTTTGAATTGGAGTTTGCCTTGTTTTAGGAAAGGGGGGGGGGGTAATATCTAGAGAGAAAACTTTTGTTAGTCTCATGTCAGATGGGAGGACTCAGGCGTAGAAAAGTGAAGTAGAAACAATCTTACATAAGGTTGATTCTTACTTTACGGGGCAATTGAGGTAGAAGGTGTGTGTTCACAGTGCCTCTGCTGAATATTTCCCCGAAGACAGAGCAGGCCGGAGGCAGCGAGGTCAGGAGATAGAGTTCAGAGCACTGACGGCAGCTTCTTTGACTTTGATGAACCATCAGTGTTCAGCGCACTGCTTACGTATCCCCCCCTCCCCACCTTCTGCTCTAACCCTCAAGCGTGTTTGCTCAACCTGAACGTACGCTAGCCTCTCATAATGCTGCCCGTTGCAAACTTTGTCTCCTTGCAGCTGTTTAATGGCTGCACGTCTGTTTTTGTTTGTTTCCTCGCCATAAGATTATTGCACCTTTATGGCTGGTCGGGGGCTTGGAATAATCCCTGGCATCTGTTCAGCCAGAGAGGGGGGGAGAAAAAAAGCTGAAGGTAGATGTGTATTTTTTTTTTGTAGTTCCTAGTTGTTTTGGATTCTCCATAATACGAAGCCATGTGGTCCTCTATATTACCACTGTCCGCTGAGACAGAAGCTCTGGCTCAATTTTAAAGGAAGAGTGATGAAAGGGCTGGGTGCACAGAGGTCACTGAACAGGTTTCTTCTTGCCATTTATCCTTCCCAAAATGAGCACAGAGGAAGAAAACGATTTAATTTAATCACTGATGTGATTTAGTTACAAATACGCAGAGGAAAGTAATGTTGCTATTAGTTAATTAGCTGTCCCCTCATGTCAGGGCTAACTTTACACATTCCCCAAGTGTTCCCTTTTTACCTTAATTCTTTCAACAAAATTGTAGTGCTTCCTTAATTTCAAGTTTATTATTGCTGTTTTTCTTTTAAATTGAACCTCCTCCAGTAAGCCCTTATCCCCTTACTATCTTTTTTAAGTCACTCCTTTCTCGTTATGGTTTTGAGCCTCTGGTCATTAAGCCAAGAGAATAGGAAGTTAATCAGCGCTGCATTATCTCACAGTCTGCTCCTGTAGGAAACAGTTCCAGTCTTACTAGCACCCCCTCTTCCACTGGGACGCCTGCCAGCCTGGGAACCCTTCACACTGCAACACCCTGCAGCCTCCCTACAGGCTATCACCAGTCGGCTGAGTCGTTGCCAGGTCACACATGTGACACACCATTGATGAGCCAATGGGAACCCTTTTGCCGTGGTGCATACCCAAGTTCTTTGAAGACTCTTTGAGTCTCAGGATTGCCAAGAAGCAATGAGGTTGATATGTTTTTGTTGTTGTAGTTCACAGCAGCTGCTTGTCCTCCATTGTTTTATGCAGTGCTTTACTTTTTGTTTGTCTGTTTCATGAAATCCCAGTAAATATGGACAATCAACCAATTGTCTGGAAGATGATCAGATATGGGAAGTAACGAAGTACAAATACTTCGTTACTGTACTCAAGTAGATTTTTCTGATATTTTTACTTTACTTTACTACTTATTTTTATGGCAACTTTTTACTTCTACTCCTTACATTTTTACACAAATATCTGTACTTTCTACTCCTTACATTTAAAAAAAATGGCTCGTTACTTTAGTTTTGAATCATTTCAATGGAGTTACCGTTATTATTTTTCACGTCATCAATACCAAATTCAATCTAATTGGATGGGAATCTACGTTGCATTTGACGCACCACTACAAGATGAATCGACAGATTCTGCGGTATTCATTGGCGGCAAATCATTGCAGCTTGGTGGCGGTGGCGTTAGCATAGTAGTATGGACGACGAGATGATTGAAAATGAACACAACGGAGATCTAGTCCTATTGGCAGACATCCATTTAAAATGTAGGCAACGGCATGAAAAAAGTGGTTTCTACTTTTACTTTTATACTTTAAGTAAATTTACAAGCCTGTACTTTGTTACTTTTACTTGAGTAAAGAAGTTTAATCAGTACTTCCACTTTTACCAGAGTATTTTTTAACACAAGTAACACTGTACTTTTACTCAAGTACGGAAAGTGAGTACTTTTGCCATCTCTGAAGATGATAAGGTTTTATATCCAGGGAGCTATTCTGAAAGGGTTACTAACAGAGTCCTCCAAATACAATGTACATGTCATAGGAAAACTCTATAGTGATATAGGAAATAAAAGGCCTCGCTCATTTTTACTAAGGAATTTAGATTGCATTTATCATGTAAAGTTGAAATTCTCAAACCAAATTAGATTCTCCACACTGGAAAGAGATTCTTGAAACACAGTTTGATACTTATGATACCTTTTTATTTTCATGGAAACATGTTTTATCTTAAGTTTTAATATGTTATATCAGATTTAGTACTTAGATTATGCAGGGTTCGATTCTCCTATTCTGATGTTGGAATATATTTGATGTGATGGAAAACTATTACTGGCTGTATTCCTAATACATTCAGTAGAGGTTCTATTAGTAATCCATACATGGATTTTCTAGATCGACTTAGTCTTGTTTGGGTTTGCATTGAGCTTGGAGCTTATACCAACAATCAATGAGAAAAAGGTGTTTTACGCAGGTTTAAAAAAGCAATGTCTCTATTCTCAAATTTACTTAAAAAGAACAGGTTACACGTAAGATGCAATCTTCCAACTAAAAATTGGAACGCCAACTTAATATACTCTTAGTGTTATCCCGTTACTCAAACAAAAGTCAAGGTTCCTTTTTTATTGCTTTTGTTTAGAATCTTTTCTGGTAAGGAAAACATGTTTTTTTTTATAAATTAGACAAAACTTTGCATACAAGGGGGCATAAAGTCTGGCTATGTAGTTTGTTCTATTCAAGAGTCCGACCAACGTTCTAGGGAAGATTGAATTGCTGGCTGTCACTAGTAATTATTAGGTTGTCAACCATTATCCAATGTTCCTTTATTTCCGTCGATTAGTTTTGGTGGGAAAATGCCTGGGTATGGTCTGACGTGCTCTATCCTTCCACTCAGAGTGATGCAGTAGGCAGGGTAAAATTGGGTAAGAAGAAAGTGTTTGAAGTATCTCTATTTGTGCCTGTGGCAGTTTAGGTTTTTTTTATCACTATTTTAGTGTTTATAGCATCTGTACACAAAAGATTCTAAAGGATCTACAGCTTTTTCTGAAGTAGCAGTATGCATGCATGTCAATATTGTGAGACTTGCATGTAATTATTATTCAAAGGTTAAAGAGAGGATTGATCCATGGAGGAGTGTCAAGGGCAGATCAAAGGGATTTGGGGGAGGATCGGACCTAAAATGTTAAAAGCTCTTCGCTCTTAAACACAGAGATGTCAATCTCTCTGAGAGCACCTTGATGTCCTTAGAGGAGAACTTGATCAAAGCTTTCATAACAAAGATGGTCTCAGAAGATGATCTGACCTCAGATGCATCCCACTTCTGTCTTTCATTTTACTTCTATCCGGGTGCGTTTACCTGCCTGAACTCCCCGATACTGCCCCTGTTTCCATCTTTTCCCGTGTTTGTTCTGACGGTTAGACTGAATATCAATGAAGCAGTTTCACAAACGTATTACAAACACAAGAGAACAGTTATTAAAGATGACATATTTAAGCCTTTTCTCTTCTCTCTGTTTCACAGGAGATTGCAGCTTACTTGATAACATTTGAAAAGCATGAAGAGTGGCTAACGACATCCCCTAAAACAAGGTAAGACAATGAACCTCTTGCACTCCTTTAAACATACATTTCTTAAAATGCACAAACTATTACCTTAAAGGCGTTAAAATGACCGTATTTAATTTAGCATATTTTCTTAAGGCAGTTGCACAACACCTCTCAAGTTCAGGGTGGATTTCTTTCATTTTGCATGCTTCTGATTTCAGTTTTAAAAAGTTCACAGTTTTCAAATACATCACAGAATATTATTACTGACTAATAACTGCCTTTTAGCATGCCAATTAACATAACAGGCATTAGCACAACATCTGCTTTTGAGTGGTGTGTTAATACATTTGGATATGTCAGCACACTCAGCTCGCAGCAGTTGAGGTCACAAGTTACACCCACATATGGAATCAAATGCCAAGAGTAACTATGATATTTGGAAATGTGTAGGGGTTCCTGGATTGCACTTCATGAAGCTCGTTAATTTATGCATATAGATGAAAAAATATCCCCTTGGCTCTTCATTTAACTTCAACCCATAAAACTTAATGTTAGGCTGTGTGTTAGTGGCAATAAAGTGTGTAATGTATGCATGCACCAAATCCAGGATGAATATTAATAATGCATGTGACTTGACAGTCACTTGACAGCACTAGATTGCTCTTTGTTTGAGTTGTTTTGGTTAATCTACTAAGATCAGACAGCGGCGGGATTCACAACCTTGGCCCCTTTGTAGGCTGTCATGACTATTGCCAAAACTGTGAGACCGACCGATCATTGCTGCAGCCCATCGCCCAGTTTTTCAAAATTTTCTGAAAACTAACACCTTTTACTTTTTGTCAGACAGCATTTCTTGCTATGTTGGTACCTCAGACAATCATTATACATTTATGAATGTATGTTGGGTATATTTACATAGAACCCGTGGCTCACCCTGGCCTTTCCGTTTCTGCCTTCGAGAGGCATTGATAAGAGTCCTGCATAAAGCCATTGCCAATTAGAAAATGTTTGCTTGTATAATTACTGATTAAAAGACCCCTGTGCTCTCTTGCTTTTTGTTTGTTTTTGTTTTTTTTTACTAATCAAGTAGAACTGCTTGCTCAATTAATTAGAATTCAGTGTAAAGCTTAAACATCTTCAGATGCTGGGCCGCATGCAGTGCTTTCCAAAAATAATCATACTTCTTAAGCTTTTTTCTACCCTAATTTGTTGTCTTACAAACACAAACCAAAAAGTATTGCATTGGATCTTAGAGAGAACATATAAAAAGGTTGTAATTGTAAGGTTGTAATCCCTATATCTTGTATACACCATCTACAGTATTATACAATTTTCAGTCTCCATTTGCACTTTTTTATGTCACATATTCAGTAATATGGTAATTTGTATACAGAATTGAATGTTTAAATCTTTGCTGCCTTATTTTTAACCCAAACATCAAAACGTCACAAATCCTGGCACAGGGCAAGACAGCCTGAAAATGCCTAAGGTTTGATGCTGTGACTTCTTAGACAAAGTCTTTCCAAGATGCTCCTGGCTACATCCTGTCTCCACTGAGGGTCTGTTACTCAATTCTCAGGTGGCTCATGTTGACCATGTCTTGGTGCAGGTGTTGTGGTAGCTCAGATGTGTCACCAGGGAGTATGTCCTAAAGTCTACTTACAGATATAACAAAACACCTGACCACACATCAAATGCTTTATCACAACCACCAATCCATGACACAGTGTGTGTGTGTTTGTATTTCATTTTTTTTATTTTTATATATATATATATATATATATATATATATATATATATATATATATATATTTTGTAGTGGTAGGTACAGGAAAAAAATGTTTTAAGGTGTTTTTTATTTTTATTTTTTTTATTTCAGCGAAAGGGTGATCATAGTGATTAATGTTACAGGGTGAAAGAATACATCTTGTTTGTGATTGATAGGAGCTGATAGATTGCCAGCTTTTAAGTGAAAAGCTTCATGTTCAAGGTCATCTTTGGTAGATCACACATAGGACACCTATGGTTTAATTCTGCTGTATTATTTGGCATTGCACATTGTAAGGTACGTGCATGAGTCAGACTGTGGCTGTGTTGTCTGCATGTCTGTTAGTGTGTTGACCCCTGTGGGGAGTAGGCTAAGAAGGCTAATTCTTCCCCAGCTTGCATCTCTAGACTGGGGCAGTGGGGTATGATGGAAAGCAGAGATAAGCAGCGGGGTCATACACAGAGAAGCACAGTGTTGCACTGCTTGCACTGCACGCATGCTACTGCTCTGACACATGCAGGTCATAAACAGAGGAGTGAGCCGCAGCCAGAGCTCAAGGAGCTGACGCCAGCTGTTTGACCAAGGTGACACACAATGCAGGACATGCCCTGAATAGAGATGGCATCCTGTCAACACAAGGAAGATTAAATGAAGTGGACCAATGGCCTGCACGCACAGATGTATTTTGTGAGAATCATGCTGATGTCTATGACCATCATCTGTAAAGCAATGATGCACCCCACACTCCTCTATTGTTTTGGTCTGTTCTTTGTTTATCATTTCAAAATCTGAAGGATGCTAGGGGACAGTGGTGGAATGCTGAGTGATTGATGTGCTTAACTCTAGTAATACACATCCCCTTTTAGATAGGAAGTGCAACAGTGCTTAAAATCAATACCAGTGTTCTCCCACTGACTGCACGAACAGCACTACAGCTAATTCAGGCTGCACCTGTCAGAGCTGGGGAAATCTTTCCCTACTCGGGGCTTACACTTTAATTTACACCAACAGCCTCTCTGCCTTCCATTTCCATTAAAGGGAGAGCCTGGCATTATGGCTTTAATGAAGGCCACAGCCAGGCTGTGATTTAAGATGGCCGTTACCTTGCACCTTCGCTCCGCAGGAGGGAACACACTTATAGCCACAATTAGAATTTTCCTCTACTGCTGATTTCTGGATAGCCATACTTATTCTTTTCTTTTGCCTCTTTCAAGATTTCACCATGTTGCTTCTACTGATGGTATCTGAAGGCACCTGTGGGAACAGAGGTAAAACAGGAGCATTGTAAAGAATTGCGCTTTCAAATCTAGACATTAACATTTGATTTGACCTCATCATAGGCGTAACATTGTGCTCCTGTTGAGAGCAGGCAGTTATTGTCCATCATAGATGACACAAATGTCCCCTTGAGGGTCTTGTTCCAAGGTATTTGAGTGCTGACAGATGGAGTAACTGTTGACTGAACGTTGTCACAGATTGGTCTGCCCAAAGACCTAATGGACACCTGTGTTTCATGGCGAGACAACTCATTATGCTGAGCATCCTGTAACTGCTGCATGGTTTCATTAAATAACAGCAAAGGATTATTATTTCTGGCGTCCGCTGTTTGTTAATGGTACTGGTTAAATGCAGTCTGTTTCAAATCCAAAATAATATATATATATATATTTTTTTTTTCGTTGTTTGTATGATTGCTTTGTGATCTAATAGTTGTTACAGTTGAAAGATCACAATAATTACTACTACTTGGGTGGACCCACCTTATGGGGACTAAAGCCTGGTTTCCATGAGTAAACGGCTGTTTTGGGTAAGGGGTGGCCATAGCATTCAGTTCTGAAATGAGTTAAGTTCATGTTTAATATCACATATGGATCATATACATAGGTAGTGATTTAGATTTAAGGTCTGGGTTAGAGTATAGGAATAAAATAAAGATGAAGAGAAGTCATTGCGACCTTCCTGTTAAGATGGGTTTTAATGGGCATGTGAGCAGTGATTGATATGATTTCCATTTTTTTTTTTATGAAAACATGCTCTGAACCTATTAGAAAGCTGATGTAGTTGACTGTGTCAGCTATGTGCTTTGAGTTTTACCCAAATTTATACAAGCAGACATTTTACATGAATGGAGGGGGGGCAGACTTTCTCTCCTTCTCACACACACACAACAGATTGTATATTGAAACTATCAAACAATAAGATTCTCTCCTTCGAGGGTCCCACAATGACACTGAACCTCGTAGCCCCTGTGTCCCAGCACAATAGCCCTCTCCTCTCACATCTACGGCAACTGCAGCAAAATGAAACCCAGTCCCTTCAGACAGCTTCCAAAGACAATGCTTTTATTAAAACCTACAGCTGTGGTGCCACCCCAGAGGCACCGGTACACCAACAGCAGCAAGAAGCAGAACTAAAAGGCCAGAAATCTACTAATGATCGTTTTGTTTGCTATTGTGTAAAGAGGCTATGACTTTATTCAGAATCTAGTGTGTGGATAAAGGAAACTGTGTTTTTCTTTGTGTATTGATATTTACAGTGCCTTGCAAAGTATGACTGTTAAACTTTTTTTTTTTCTCCATACGTTAGTCAGGTTACAACCAAAAACTTAACTTATAAGATTTCACACAAGGCACAAGGTTGTGTATAGATTTTATTGGAAATGCAAGTATACTGATACAGTACGCCTATGGCCACAAATATTGTTTTTTCTATTTTATTCAAAAGATATTTGCAAAGAAATACAGCTTTATTATTGCGTTATGGAAAATATTTTCTTATTATTGCTTTATTTTCATTATCCACTGCAGTATTGTGGATGCACCCCCACCTTACCCCGCCATACTTTCTAAATGATAATGGTTCTTTAAAGTTTATCAAGCTGCTATACATATGGTAAAGCTCACTCCACTGCAAGTAGAGGCAAGAAAATACGAAACATAAATGTTCCCCTCTGTCCTTGGTCAGGCAGTGGCTCTGTCACTTTGACGTACAAAACGGTACGGTGGCTCTTACCTGAGGAACCTGCCTCAATCCGCAGAAACAGCTTAACTTTGGAACCTAAAGGAAGTCTGCTGGTGTGCACAGCATCTTTAAGATATAATCATTTAAAATTTAAATCGATGATATCACCATTAATCTCTGACTCGAACCAAAGTGGTCTACTCTTTAAGTGCTTCATTTATGCGGATTTGTGGCATTAAAACTGTTATTTGTGCTGCTTTAGTTTTTAAGATAACATGAATTATGAAATAAGGCTTGTGACTAGACGTCACAA